ACTCGTTTATCGATTGTACATGCCACACCTCGTAAATCCGCGAGCAAGTATAAACAAGACGATTCGCGCTTTGCGCGAGTATACAAAGGGAGTGGTTCGCGATTGAAATCCTCGAAAGGAGGGAGAGAACGGATCTGTGACTTTGATAGTCGATGCTGAACACACACACACACGTAATATATATATATATATATATATATGTATGTATGCATAGGAAATTGAAGAAAGAACGGGAGAAGATTAAACGAGATAAAGGGTGGATAGGTTCCAAGAGGGCACTAAAGTGCCTTTTAATGGTCCGTTTGCGGTGTGTTTTCGGACACTGGGGCTGATGAATCACGAGTGGAAACGACGTTCGAGATGTTGGTAATTGATTGAATTTCAGTTTTTACATTGACTCGGGGAGAGACTGCAGCCGAACGAAAGGGAATTAATTTCCAAAGGGATGAAACCTGTCCGATTGGAAGGAAAGGAGAGGAGGGAAATTTCAAGCGAATCGTTATCATTTTGTATAAAATTTCCAAATATGTGGTTACTCGAATAACTCTGCAATTTCGAAGACGTGGTGGTTGCTCTACGAGATCTATTCTATATATGTATGTATGTGAAAAAGGTGGTCGCTTCCGCCTTGAAGATAAGAAACACAAAGTAACTCGAAAAACTTCATCCCCGTTGCGAGGTATTACGGAATAAATTTGCAAACTTGAAATCATCGACGTCGTTCAGTTTTGACAGGAACAACGGATGACGTCGTTAAGAAACTACGTTCCCGCCGAGCTAGATTCTTCTGTCATCTACAAATGGCGTACAAGCCGCGAGAAATTCAACAGCAGAAGAACACTCGAACTTCTACTCTTTAAGAGAGAGAGAGAAAAAAAAAAAGAAAAAAAAATATTTATATTCTAGCATTCTATACATGTACATGTGATATTTACTTTATTTGGAAAATTTATAATGTATACTATATTAATAATTAAATTATACATTTAATATAATATATAATACACAATATATTTAATACATAATATAATACAATATATAATGTACACAAACATTCACTTTGTTAGTAAAATATATGATTTAGAAAATACATAAAAGGCAAGAAATTCAATGGGAGATGAAACTACTACGAGCGTTGATAATCTTTTGTATTTTTTGGAACGTAAGATATAAATGTAAAATTGCTAATATTTTACATTCATTCGATTGTTCCTGCTAAATGTTTGAAAGTCTTTCGAGTCTTTTTTTTTTTTTTATGAATATTTATGCGACCAATTTCAACGTCGATGGAAAATTATTCTTGGAAAATTAAGTTTAACACAGCGACACAACTTGCTTTATATTCACTTTGACTTTTTAATAACACTCGACGCGCGTTTTATTATATTTCAGTCTCTCAGGCGGAATATTTCTAACAACTCTGAGCCGCGAAGATATTTCTTCTTACTAAACAATATTCGACACGTGCGAATTTTATTAATAGAAATAATTTATCGATGGTACAATTTCAATGGACACGTCGTTTAGTTGAAAGATGACGAATTACGAATGTTTTCATGCAACTCGCTCGATTACGAAAAGTTAACTCGGCCAACTGGACGAAAGATTGAAAGTGGTTCGACGTAATTCAATCGAATTTATTTTATTTCTCATTTCGAGGGTCGCGAATCGATCCGTCCATTTCGATGTGTACACGATCATGCAGAAGAGTGATAGCAATATGTTCCCGTAAACTAATCGAAAAACCTCGAGAAACCTCGTACGATTTTACGAGGGGCCACGGGATTTTCGGGGATTCTTCTGCCACACGCGGCCGAAAAAAAAAGTCTCGAGGTGGTCAGTTGGCCAGAATAAATGGCCATCGGAGTTATGACTATCGATTCAATCATTGAGACTTGTTCCTGATTGTCAGTCGAACGAGTTCTCCCCTTTTTTTGCTCCTTCATTCGTCTCCAGCAGACGAGTCTGAATTTTATGCACTTGAAGAGTTCAAGAGTTCAAGAATGTTGCAGAGCTATTCGTAAGATTTGGAAAATATGTAAAAATATGTAAAACAGAGTACTCATAACATTTAATTTGATATAATATTTATAACAGATTAGTTGTGATACTTAGTTTCGTAATATTTACAAAACTCGACCTATAAAATTTGAAAATGCACAGAGAATATATCTACAAGCTTGCTATGATTTAGTAGATGAAACAAATGCTTCTTCTAACTGTTACGTACGCACATATCAAAGATAAAGACCCAAAGATAAGGATATATTTGATGGGTTTCAGACACAATAAGAAATCAATTGAAAGGAATCTGTTCGGAATTTAATAAAAGAGGATCTTCGATCAGAATACGCGGTGGAGATAACACGCGATAAAGACTAGGAATTCTGCGAGAATCTAACAACAGCTACGAATAATTCGAAAATTCGATCGAAAAAGTCCACTCCAGATGAGAATGAAGACTAGAGGAAGGACGAGTCGGAAAGAAAGACAGCCATAACTCGATAGAAGCTAAATTCTCTGAGAACTCTTGATCCCTCTCGAGTAGATATGATTTCGCATAAGAATATCCATCTCCATTCAGATTTGAACTGATTCACGGTGTAAATGATAGAGTGGAAAATGATCCATTATCTCCGCGTGATATTTTATTCGTTGATATTCGTAGAAAGTCAACGAAAAGTAGTACGAAGGAAAATAAACGTAATCGAGTATCGAGGATCGTTGAAAGAAGTCGAAATAACGCTTCTCCTCCATCCTCGTCGATCAATTTTGCGAGTTCATTATTCTTACGAAAGTCTTCCAAAAATTATGACACCTCGTTCATAAATATCGAGCCATCTATTGATTTTATGAAAATGTGACAATTGAATGGAATTATAGAATTAGATATAACGATGTATTTCAATCGACTATAATGTACTGATGTTATTAAATGATTTATTATAATCAATCTTCAATATTTTTCAATATATTTCAATAATTATATTGATATATATATATATATATATATTATATATTTCAATAATTATAATCAATCTTCAATATTTTTCAATAATTATTTAACGCTTATTTTTAGATGAAAAATAAATTAATTTACATTGAAATAATTGTTACTTATTATTTTCAATTAATGATTTTAAATTTATCACTACTATTGCTTATTATTTTATTACGTTACTATTTCCGGGTTAGAAATAGTTTATCATTTATCGCCAATCATTCAAAGACAGTTCATTTTTTTATCCATTTCTAATATCAATTAAATCAAATTCGCTTCACGTTAGTAATCAAGACACGAAGCAAATGTTTAACACGGATACCTCTCGGTATCCACGATCCTAAATGCAACAAATTGTTAAATTCTCCATAAACACTGCGTCCATCTTGTCGCTCTGTTTATCCTATTATTAAGAAAGTGCCACCGTATCGTCTCTTTCTTCGTTCCGGTTGAAATCTCTCGTCGAGCGTGCAATAATCGACGATTCGAGGCACGCAATAAGGAAACGGTGATGAATTCCTCGCGCCGGCCAAAATCACCTCGCCTCCTCGTAAAAGAATTTATCACCGACGAAACTATTTTTATGACGCCGATAAACTTACGGATCCCGTCTCGCCGTCGAACGGATTAAGCTTTCCCCTCGGCAGCTACCTTTTGTTTCCTCCCTTTCTCCTTTCGTTAATCGACTTCGTTTAGCAACCGGTTAGACAGTTTTTTCGACAAACCTGTTTCGTCGATTTACGAGGTGTTTATTGTCGTCGACTGACATTGAAAATTAATGCAGATGACACTTTTCTTTTGGGGGAATTCGTTGTTCGCTGCACGGTATGGTAATGTTGTTAATAAGAAAAGTTGAATTTCGAGTGTGATTTTGATCGATGACATTAATCTACAATGCTTGCAAAGTTTTTATTGCCGCTTCTATCTCGATTGTCAAAAATTGCAAATAGAAATTCTATCAAAATATAGATCGATATTAAACGGAGAGGAAAGCAGCCTGTAGAAATATTTTTCAGAGAAACACCATAATTTTCTGCACAAATAAATCTAAATTTGTAAACGTTCTGATTTTAGAACGGCGAGCATGGGACAGAGGATACAGAACGATTCCAAAAATAAGCTCGTGATCTTCTGAATAAAGAATCGGGAGTTACAAAAATAGAACCTGCGAACTAGTGAATAAAGTTTCACGTTCTGAATAAAGAAATTTGAACAAAGAGTACAAGAGGAATCTGCAACATTTGCAACATTTGCGGACAGTGCGTGATCTGTGTGGTTCTGAATAAATACAGAAGAGAGTTCCAAGAATAAATCCCCGATATCTTTGACTTGGAAGAATACAGAGAATAATAATGAAATCCATAATCCAAAATTATAATTAGTATTAATCCTTTGCACTCGACTGTCCACCTCTGAAATCTAGCCAACAGCTCGGACTTTCTCTTTTCATAATTTGCTGATAATTATAACGAACGTGAGAAGAATAAAAGAATTTCAAAAGAAGAAATTTCTGAGTTAATTCACATAATTCGCACAAACTAGACTTCTTATTGCTCCTAATGAAAATTGAAGAAAATAACGAAGAATATTATTTTTCTAAAGATTGAAACTATGTATCATTGACTCTTATTACATTGTATTATAATTGTTCTAGAAAACCCGCGATGATTGCCTCAGATTTAAACGATATAATCAACAAAACTTCCACTTGAATGATTACTTCCAATGCTACGCCATTTTATTTGAAGTGATATAAATTGCTGGTAAACGATACAAAAGGTTAAACAATTAATATCACATCAATTCCTACCCTAAACTTAGCTCTTCTTGGAGGTAGGGGTAGCTCAGTCGGTAGAGTCAGCATCAGACTCTTAATCCAGTTCGAGCGAAAAAAAAAAAAAAAA